TGCCAAGGTTTGGCATTACAAAAGCTTTGTGGCCATAGGGATTTCTTGAAAAATCATCTGAAATGTTCTCAAATGTTGCCAGTGGGGAACATTAAATTCAGACAAGCCTGAGTGGTTAGAGGGTGGAATACAGTTTATTCAATTTCAAAAACCTAACTGGAGTCTGGGAAAATGTAAAAGATGGATAAAGGCCTGCAGCTGACCTCATGAACAGCTGAACACAACAGTGATAAACAGGAAGCACTGCATGCCCATCTATACAAGGGTAACTGCAAGTAAATCCTCCATTTTTGTCATAATTACATTGTATGCTTAATGGTTAAATTAAATGTTAAGGCGTAAAACTAGCTGTGCTTTGTGTGTTTTGTGCCTAGATATATGTTGCAACTTTTGGTTGCACAAATTTAGTCTTTGTTTGCTATGATCAGTTAACTTCTTCTTTCGGCTTTTCCCTCTTCAGGGGTCATCACAGCAAGTCATCCTCCTCCATCTCATTCTGTCCTCTGCTTCCTCTGTCCTCACTCCAACTATCTTCATGTCCTCTCTAACTGCATCCATATATCTCCTCTTTGGCCTTCCTCTTTGTCTTTTTCCTGGCAGTTGCATTTCCAACATCCTTCTACCAATATACCCACTGCCCCTTGTCCAAACCATCTCAGTCTGACCTATCTAACTTTCATCTCCCAGTTGTTCAACCTATGCTGTACCTCTGATGATATCTTTCCTAATCTTATCCATCCTTGTCAGTCCTAAGGAGAACCTCAACATCTTCATTTCTGCCACTTTCAGTTCTTTCTCCTGTTTTTTTGTCAGTGCCACTGTCCCCAGACCATACAACAAAGCTTGTCTCACCACTGTCTTGTAAAATTTTCTTTTGACCTTTGCTGACACCCTTTTGTCACAAATCACTCCTGAAACTTTTCTCCATCCATTCCGTTCTGCCTGGACTCTATTTTTCACCTCTATACCACACTCTCCATTGTCCTGAACATTGGACCCTAAGTACTTGAAGTCCTGCACCTTTGTGACCTCTGCTCCTTGTAGCTTCACTGTCCCACCGGCCTTGCTTTCATTCACACACGTGTACTCTGTCTTTCTTACTTTCATTCCTCTTCTTTCAAGTGCATACCTCCACCTCTCCAAGTTCTCTTCCACCTGTTCTCTGTTCTCACCACAGATTGCAGTATCATCTGCAAACATCATAGTCCCTGGGGATTCTTGCCTGACTTCATCTGTTAGTCAGTCCATCACCAGAGCAAACAAGAAGGGGCTCGGAGCTGATCCTTGATACAATCCCACCTCCACTTTGAAGTTATCTGTCACTCCTACAGTACATCTCACCACTGTCCTGCTGTCCTCATACATGTCCTATACCAGTTTAATATACTTCTCTGCCACTCCAGATTTCTTCATGCAATACCACACCTCCACCCTTGGCACCCTGTCATATGCTTTTTCTAGATCCACAAACACGCAATGGAGTTCTTTCTGACTCTCTCTGTACTTCTCTATCAGCATCCCTCAAGCAAAGATAGCATCTGTGGTGCTCTTTCTTGTTATGAAACCATACTGCTTCTCACAAATAGTCATTTCTCGTCTAAGTCTTGTTTCCACAACTCTCTCCCAGATCTTCATTGTTTGACTCATCAACTGAATTCCCCTGTAGTTGCTACAACTCTGTACATCACCCTTGATCTTAAAAAAAGGCACCAGCACACGTCTTCTTCATTCCTCAGGCATTTTCTCACCCTCAAATATTCCATTGAATATTGAGAGTCAAAAACCTCACTGCCATCTTCAAGACATTTCCAAACCTTCACTAGTATGTCATCCAGTCCTAGCAAGTTCATCAAAGCAAAACCATGATCAGTTAACAGTAAACTGATTTTGCAGTGTTTAATAAGTTGTGTAATACAAAATGTACACTATTAGTACATGCAGAATTTCACTGTGAGTTCTTGCCCTGTGTTGCTCTGTGGCGTGAAAACATCTACTGCTGTAACTATTTTGTTTTTAGTAGCTTAGAATTTTTGTTTCCCTGTCTTCTTTGCCTTACTGTTTGCTGATAAGGCAACAATGCCTGACCAAATGCCTCAAGTAATGCCATTATCTTCACTACCTCTGCCATTACATCTATCTAGTTTGTTTATTTGTTTGTAGGATGTTTGCTCACCCTGGGTTATGTTTCCACTTGGGCGTAGCAACCTAATCGTTCACGCCATGTCAGTTGTCCTCCTCTTACAATACCGTTACTGTAACACTCATCCTTCTGTGAATATCAAGCAGTCATCAGGGCACTAATCGATTAGTCATTAGGCTGATGGTCCTCTTTTTGCATGTGAACAACTAGTTTTGGCTGTCACCAACAAACTGGTTGATGTACTATGTGATGGTGCTGCTTATAATGCCCCTTTTGCACTGCCCCTAATAAGCCCCAATTTTGAGCAGCCTGCCACAGAAAGAACCCTTTTGCACCAGTACTTTAACTAGTATTTTTAGCTGATATGAGGCTGATTCAGGACCTCTTTTCGTCCCTGCTTCTCTGGTGGGACCGAGCGAGCTCAGTCGAGCTGAGTCAGGACCGAAACGTGAATGCAGGACTCTTATTGGGCAGGGGGAGGAGTCACTGGATCTCAAAAACTTTTCACTGAGCCGCCATTTGCAGTTTCTCTGGATGCTGAGCAGCGGCTGGATCTATTTTTAAGATTTTAAAAACAATAATGACAACGGCGTGTTTAATTCTGACGTCCAGGCGATTCAATTAATATAGGCGTAGCCCTTTAAGAGCTGTCGCTAGTGGGTTTTATCCCGTCATGCAGTGTAATGCTTCGCATGACGGGATAAAACCCACTAGCGACAGCTCTTAAAGGGCTACGCCTATATTCATAGAATCTGGGGTTACAGTACGTAACCAACGTTTTTTTGTGTTTGATGACCGACTATAAAATTCGAGCAAGTGGTGTTACCGCGGAGGATCATACAAGCTGCCGAGCCGTTGAAGCCCGCGAGGCCGAACCCCGAGCCCCGGCCTCGCCTGCTCACAAAGGCCGGATTCGAGCCCTGGCAGGCGGGAGGACCGGGATGGAGGGACGGGGGGTGGAAACGTTTTTTTTTTTACATTTTAAGTATAAAATATAAGGGTTTTTTTTATCAGTGAAAATTAAAAATAAATAAACTGTGCCGGCTTTATCGTGAAATCCTGGTTTCCCTTTGACTTTATTAAATAATCTGTTAATTAAAGTTAATTCAACTGAAAAATTTTAAAAAGACAAAATTATTGGATCTCTCAGGAATATTTCCCTCAAAAATGTTTAACGAAGAGACACAGCCTTTGGTTCAAGATTATTCTAACCCACAGATGTACAAATCACAAAACAAGCATTACACTTTAAATTAAAGCTTTAAATCAAAGCTAAACTTTAATTCAAAGCTAAATATAATCTGTATACAAGAAAAAATAATCTGTATACAAGAAACAAAACCACAATGAGCGCAAATACATCAAATGATGAAGAAAAATATAGAATTTTAAATATAGATATCCTGATGCATGCTCAATAATCCAGGTAGAAAAATCTAAAAAAAAAAAATTAAGTCTGGTCCTCTGGACATTCAAAAACAAACAAAAATGTAGAAACATTTCTTGTTTCATCCGAAAGACTTCTTCAGTCCGAGTTACTGTATTCAGCTCAGTCTTATATAAATAGCTGTGAGCTGAATACAGCACCTCAGACTGAAGAAGTCTTTTGGATGAAGGACGAAACGTTTCTACGTTTTGTTTTTGTTGTTGTTTGTTTTGTTTTTTGAACGTCCAGAGGCCCAGACTTAACTTTTTTTTTAGATTTAAATATAAATGTTTTTGTAGAATCTGGTTCATCAGATTTAATTCAGTTCAGTTTATTTATACAGCGCCAAGTCACAACAGAATTTGTCTCAGGGGGCTGAATAGAAATATCCATATATAAAATAATAATTTTATATTATTTATCTGAGGAGCAGACTGCTTTGAGTAACTCATCGCAGAACTCTCATTAGCAGGACTTTGATTCTGAACACGCCTCCAGAATCGGTCCTAAAGTGCAGGTGCAAATCCAGGCTGAGCTGAGCCAGGCTGAGTAGCGGTGTGCAGGGCTGAGCAGAGTTGGGGCTTATTAGGGGCAGTGCAAAAGGGGCATAAGACTGAAGGGACCTGCGTACTCTATCCAAAGCAGCTAAATTAGTTCTCATTGACGTAGTTGCATGACAAAAATTGCATAATTTTGTTCTCAGAGTAGCTTCGCCCAGCCCTCCTTGACACGAGGCCTGGGCTAAACCTTTTCTCACAGACATATGCACCAGAGATTGTGTTATTGGTCAAAGGTTTATGGACGTATTCATTAGTGTGGAAATGCGCCTGGACATTCTGCTTTATTCAGTTCAATTCAGTTTATTTATATAGCGCCAAATCACAACAAAGTTGTCTTGACTTGTTTTTATGTCTCTTCAAACACACTAAATTAGTCAAATGATCAAAATCTCCTGGGTGGAGATTGTGCAAACACTGGATATGAAGGAGTCTGTCTGCTGAAAAATGTGGTGCTCTCTTCATGATGGATTTGTGGCCATACGGTGGATGCAGGAACAGAGTATAGACTCTGGAGGGAAAATACCTGTGTGGTGGCGTATACTGCAGTGGGAAGGGTTTCCCAAGATCTCTGCACCTGTGTCTCATGCACTATGAAAGGTGTGTGTGAAAATATCCAGCAACCAAGAGACCGTGCGTCAACTGTGTGGCTTCAGATGGAGTACGCTGGGCCCTTGAGTTTGCGTGCAGCTCCTCAAACTGAAAAAGCATTTTTGGTAAAAGATGAAACATTTAAAAAAAGAAGAACCCATCCAGAGGACCTGACTCAGCCTTTTTAGACATTTCTCACTAAACTTAGTCATCACCATCTTTCAGTTCAACTTTGTATTGATATGATTCAGTTTTTATTATTTGTATTCTGTTTTTGCCTCTGCAGATCCCGAGTGGGGATCATGCACCCTGGGAGTGTTCATCTGTCTGGGTTGCTCTGGGGTCCACCGCAACTTCCCAGATATCAGCAAAGTCAAGTCGGTGAGACTGTCCCATTGGGAGGACCACGAGATGCAGGTGAGAGACCTGAGCCATCGACTTCTCATATATTAATTATCTCGAGTCAAGTTTATTCATAACACAAGTGTGTAAAAATCATACTGCATGTACTATTATTTACTCCCGATCATACAGCTGGCACCTAAATGAATAGTTTTTTTTTTATTTTAAAACATCTCTAATATTTAATCAAACCGTCACTGATGTTGCACATTACCGATGATGGCATTATATCACCACAAAGAACATGTTTTGGTGTCTTTTTTTAATTTTTTTATTTTTTTTATTTATTTATATGTAACAACATACTATATATAGCATTTATTTGATTCTTTTAAACCAGAGATGGACAATGACGTGGATGCCATTTTTTTTTCACCCATCTTTGTGTGCAACCAAAGCAAACCTGGTCAAATTTGAGTGTCACCCCTGCAGTCAGTGAGACAAATCAAAAACCTTTACTTAGACTTAATTAAACCATAAGATGGGGCCGAGATGGTTTAGGGGCAGGGCAGCCGACCTGAGACCCGAAGGTCTTGGGTTTGATCCCTGGTTATTGCACCCCTCGTAGTGTCTCTAAGCAGGACACCCCATCCCCAGTTGCCTCCCGCACCCTCAATAGCCGCCCACCACCCCACCTGGTGGTGGATGGGTCAAAAGCAGAGAGCCAATTTAATTATTGTATGAGAATATACAATGATAACAATACATCACACATAAGAGGTCAAATAAAATTTATATATATATATTTAACACTTTGGCTCTGATAATTCATTTTTCACGTTTCATCACTAATCCTGATTAAAATTATAGTATATTCTATAGGCATATAATCATCTCCATCTCTATAAAAAATAATGTATTTTTTATTATTGCATCATATTATTAACTGCATTTCCTCCTCTGCGGTACTGACCTCACAGAAATTGGAAAGAAAAAAAAAGTTGCCCTTCCATTTATTTTGAAATATTGGCCATCTTGGGCCCCTCTTTGTTTTCTTTAACACCTTTAAAGGTTTATTGAGCAATTTTGTTCCACTGAACAGATGTGTGCTGTGGTTATAAAGTCATTCATTGCTGTACCAAGCTGTCGTTCATCTGTGAATAATCTGTAAATTTGTGTTTCGTGTGTATGTGTGTATGTGTGTATGTGTGTATGTGTGTCCATGTGTATGTATTAGTTCATGGCTGAGAATGGTAATGAGCTAATGAAGAAAAAGTATGAGGCTTCTGTTCCTGTCTACTACTACAAACCCACTCACAAGGACTGCCAGTGAGTACCCACAGCTACACAAACAGTTAATCATAATTTATAGCCTAACTTTCATATTTTTACCCATTTTTTGTAATTGCATGTGTGTGCATGTTGAACTTTAGCAAACACAATTAATAGGGATGCACAAAACAATGGGCCAGAAATTGTTACTGGCCAGTATTCACTGTGATTGGTTCAAATCGGTGGTTAAAAATACCCCCCCATCCTTAAACAGTCAGTGCTGAGAAACCCAATATTTTTTCAGTCCGTGAATGCAATACATAGTTCACACATGTCTATACTGGATGTGCGCAACGCCACTTTTCTACCATTATAGTAGGCAAGCGGTAGATGGCAATTATCACAATGGCACAAGTCTGGAGGTCCAGTTCTGTTCCAGTTCAGTGCAGCTTGAGAGCTGAAGTGAATTTGGGGGGGTGCAGACCTTCTTTTGGATGGCGTGGGACCATAGGTGGTCGATTTGAGTCAAAGTATGGATCAGAAAAGTCCTGATGGGCTACGGAAAAAGCTCCGGAGCTTTCTGCACGCGTCCGTGCTTAGAAGTCCTCGTGGGCCGGCTACCAGCTCTCAAAATTCACCAGTGGGTCTGGAGGTCTGGTTCTGCTCCGGTTTGGTTGGCTTCTCTTCATCCGCTGGGCTCCGATCAGATCAAAACTTCTCTTGTTTTTTTTTTTTTCAGCAGAAGGATATGGGGCTTCTGAGCAGGGCCCTGTTGCCTTCTGGGAAATGTGGTCATTATGAGAGGGAATACAGTGGAGACTTACTGAGAGAAAACTATAAAATGGACAGGCGGCACCTTTCCGAAGTATTTTATTTTTTTCCTTAACTTTTTACTGTACAGTACTGTATCATGTACTATCCCAGTCACGTGAGTAATATTAAAGTACCCTCTGTCCTGTACAATTATTTTTTGTACAGTACAATATAGCTATACGTTTGAGCGAGTCTTCAGAAGTCGAACCGCAAAGTAGCAAGGGACTACTGTATCTAGAAAATCGCTGCTGTCGGAATTAACTTGTATGAGGAAAGAAAGAGAACGTGTCCGGTGACGCAGAAAAGTTGCCTCCAAGCTCTTATTATGACATAGTTGCTTATTTAGTGAAAACGATGAGTGCATACACAATGGAGCAGCTTCACGGCCTGAAATCCATGGATACATACAATCAATACTTTAATAGCTTTGTGAAGGACATCCAAACTGAGAGCTGCCTGGTGAAATAAAGGTTTAAATAAATAAATAAAAATAATAACATGCAAACTCCTCAGCGTTTGTCTGCTATGATATACAACCATATTTAGCCCGTATGGAGGAAATCTACAGTTGCCTGTTTTTAGTCTTTTGGTGAATTTTCTGTTTTTATGTCTTGGATATGCTCAGCCTTGGTCAGATTGTACAGTAATAGTTTAGTAGTAGTGAATAGTTTGATTTATTGCGTAGATTTTAAATTATACTAAAGCCTAGATTTGGACCCTAAAAATAGTTCAGTACAGTTGCTTCACAGTTGCAAAATTAACTTTCAGATCATGTTTTGACATTTTGCTGCGTTACAATCCTGCTGGAATAAATGATAATAACTTTCTCTAATGTTTCATTTATATTTTGTTTCTGTCTTTTGTTCAGGGTTCTCAGGGAGCAGTGGATCAGAGCAAAGTATGAGAGAAAAGAGTTTTCCGAGCCGAGAAAAAGCTTAACCTACGAAGAAGGTGAGCGTGCGAATAAGCACCGACACACGTTTGAAATAAAGCACAGGCATACAATCGCTGATATTTGCTTGGTTTTTGTTCTTTTGTAGGATCTAAAGATGGCATGTTGATGAAGAGGGGGCGGGACAATGGACAGTTCCTGAGCAGGCGATTCGTCCTTTCAGAGAGGGAGGGAACTCTGAAATATTTCACCAAATATGACGTAAGAAGCTGTTAGTGATTTCTCAAGCAGCTTACATGCAGCTAAAACACAATTTGTGCATCCACTTCACAAACACGTGTAACAACATCACTCAAACTTTTTGGGTTCAGGGACCCCTTACAGGGGAGAAAAAGTTTCAGGGACCCCATCATAACCATTATGTTTATTAAATAATTTTCTTCAATGTGTCTCTTTAATTCAATGGAAATATTTTTGTAACATAAATACTTAAGACCTGTTCTTTAATAGTATTAATACATTTTTTATACTTTTAAACGTGGGGTATTTTTCATTCAAGACACACTTAATTAACAACTTTTTTAATTTCAACCTCCAAAAATTACAGTTTTAAGAAAATTAACAATATCAAAAAAACACTTTAAAATGTTACCTATTCACATAATTAACATAATAAAAGTGTTATCATCCAGACCGGGTCTGTCCCTCAAACCAGTGTGACTCCCTACCTCCGGCGTTTGGCTCTTTTATTCCCAGGTGGAGAGGAAACTCACACAAACTCATTAAAATCAGGTTAGGTAAATTCTTTTAACCATTTAATGTCAATAAGGCAGGAAAAGTTACAAGCTCAGTGCTGAGGCATCCGTCCAACTCGTCTTAACCAGGATACGGAAGCGGAGGCCCTATGTAGCAGAACGCCCCAACTTTTTTCATCCAACCTTTATTTAGACAGGTAAATCCCATTGAGCCTCGAGGACTCATTTACAAGAGGGACCTGAAAAGCTTATATTGGCCCTTGGCTCCGCCCCCACATCTGGGATGGACACAGCCTATCAGAGTGTATGTATCAGTGGGGTGACTGTGTGACGTCATTGGTCTTATCTGTTTCTGATGATGGAAGATGGGGTGATGTGCAACTCTGTCAAAGTGTTGGAAAACAAGCAAACAAAAATGACTCCTTATCAGGTGTTGACACTGGGATTGCTCAGTGTGAGCAGCTGAAACTTATCTGACCTGGTCCATACTAGGTTATAATTTAAAGTAGATCAGATCAGATCAGACCTCCAGCAAGATTAAATTTCTATTAAACGTATCGCCACTTCTTCAAATTATTATGCAAAACTCTACATAAAACTGAACAAAATCATAACAGCAGTAGCCATACCAAGTAACAGAGCTTCATTTGTAAACCCAACGATGCTGGGACGTAAATAGTGTGGAGGTCTGGTGGTCCTCCCCCAGAAAATGTTCAATAAAGTAGATGCGATTTCCTGCATTTTGGTGTATTTT